GGCCTCTTCTAGAAGTGCGCGACAATCCGGAGGCAGCATCTGTCCGTGCGGCAGCAGCCTCACGTCAAAGGAAGCGCGTCTGCTGTTACTCGCTGCCGCCCCTGCTGCTGCTGCTGTGAGGCTCCCTCCTCCTCCGCCTTGCTGCTGCTGCTGCTGCAGGCGGCGCTGCTGCTGCTGCTGCGGCAGCACCACAATCTGATACACGAGACACCGCAACGCAATGCAGGTGCTCCGCAAAAGACTCTTGGTTTCTCGCAAGAAGGACTGATACACTTGCTGCTGCTGCGGAGACAGTGGACGCGTCGACGCTGCTGCCACTCCTGCTGCTGCTCCTGCCGATCCTGGCAACGGCACATGCGGTGGAAAAAAATGAGCACCGCTGTTTCTGCCGCTGCTGAGCCATCCGTCTACCTCTTCAGCTCCTTCATCACTGCATGCCGCCGCATGCATCTGCACAAAAACATCCTCAGCCCCCACACATGCACACGAAAATGCAACATCCCAAACGCCAGGCGAAACCATACACACATCTGCTAAAATAGACACAAGGCTCTACGCAACACACCTCCGCATGCACATGGATGGGTGTCTGCTTGCACATGAACATGCATACACGCATTTATGAAGGAGCATGGACATACGTGTACATATATGTATGTGTATTTATCTATGTATATGTGTGTACATATATTTATATGTGTGTACATATATTTATATGTGTGTATATATATGTATATATGTGTATATATATGTATATATGTGCATATAGATGTACATATGTGCATATAGATGTACATATGTGCATATATATGTATATGCATACGTGTATATACATATGTATATGTGTGCATATATATGTATGTGTGTATAAATATGTATATCTATCTATCTATATACATATATATATATACATATTTAAGCCGACATGCCTGTGGTATCTCCTCTTGTAGCTCGATAAGCGAAGAGCAGAGAATGCGCAACGCCAGAAGTAAAAGCTCCATCGTTTCTTGTTGCATGCGTTGCACGCTGGTTGTGGCGCTGTTATTGTTGCTGTTGCTGTTATTGTTGCTGTTGCTGTTATTGTTGCTGTTGCTGTTATTCTTACTGGTGTCTTTCCGTATTTCGGAGGCTACATCATTTCCGACAGCCGCTCCTGCCGCGGCTTGCTCGTTTGCAGCAGCGGCGGCTAATTCTGCAGGCTCAGCTGCATGCGCAGCGACGTGCACTGCAGCTGGCAATACGCCTGCAGCTGCTGCTGGAGCAGAAGCCTCCTTTGTTGCTGCTGTAGGTGCTGCCTCGGGGGCAGCCGCTGCCGCTGCTTCTGCATACTTGTTCACTGCCAAATCGCATACGAAATTCATCAGCTTCGCAACAAGATGTCGAATGCTCAGCGCCGCCAACTGACTGCCCCCTCCGACAGTGCAACCCCCGAGCCCACCACTTTTCTCCGCTGTATTTTTAGATGCTGCTGCTGCTGCTGCTGCTGCTGCTGCTGCTGCATCGAACGAGCCTCCAGCGCCCTCGTCAAAAGACTTAAGTGCTGCCGTTGCTGCTGCTGTTGCTGCTGCTGCTGCTGCTGCTGGCAAATGCGGACGAGACTGCAGCAGCAGCAGCCCGCTCCACCGAACGACGCGCATCAGCAACGACAGCGACACGCAAATCGGAGATGGAAATATCAACAAAAAGTCGTGCAAGTGGCATATCGTGTACACCCTAACAAGTCGCAAACACACACACACACACACAACAGCCAAAAACAACAAACACTAAGCGTCCTAAAGAACCCCGCTTTGTGCTCGCATGCATACGCATACACACATACGCATAGAGACGTATACGTGTAGACACATACGCATAGAGACGTATACATGTAGACACATACGCATAGAGACGTGTACATGTAGACACATACGCATAGAGACGTATACATGTAGACACATACGCATAGAGACGTATACATGTAGACACATACGCATAGAGACGTATACATGTAGACACATACGCATAGAGACGTATACATGTAGACACATAGGCATAGACACATACGCATAGACACATAGGCATACACAAATACGCATAGATATATACACATAGACACATAGGCATACGCATAGACTTGTACATAATGAAGCATTGACATACACGACATATCCATATATGTGCACACATATCCACACACCTACACCCAGATACATATACATATATATATACATAGACACGTACACATATACACACACGCATACACGCGCATATATATATATATATATATACATATCCACACAGCGCCGCCTGCGTCATCCAGGCAAGCGAGTCTAGCCAGTAGATGATACACGAGGGTAAGGCCAGAAGCGCATACCTGAGAAGTGCAGAGTCAAGCCTCTCGGTAAAAACGGAAAGCTCCAGAGACATCAGTCGCTCCACAACTGGCGTGAGAGCACCGACAAAAGAAGATGCGGCGAGCAACTTTGCCGCCTCATGTACCTGCACAGAGACACCCCACACAGAGAAACCTAGGCGTTGCTTGTGGGGTGGCATCATGGCGTGTGGCAGCAGGGAGGGAAAGCAGGCAGCATGCTGCGCAGTTACACTAGGGAGAGTGACTGCAAAAGCAGGGAGAAAATGCTACGCGAAAACACACAGTTTTGCGCTTCAGGAAAAGCGGAGGCTTCAGCGCTTGCAACAGGCGAACCATGACATGCGGCAGCTGCTGAAGGGCACGTGTCGTGAATGCCTCAAGCGAGCCGCTGCTGCCACTGACAGGGGTGATGCTGCTGCTGCTGCTGCTGCTGTATGCTCCGTTGACATCCCCAGAGGCGCTATTCTTCAGAAGGTAGCAGAGGAACAGCAAAATGCGACTTTGCGCTTGAAACAAATCTGCAACAGCCACAGCAGCATCAGTAGTAGCAGTACACCCGCAGAAGCGGCGTCTCTCCACAAATATCACCAACGGCGGCTGCGATACCAACAGCGACAGGAGCTATAGCAGTATAGCACCGATAAAGGCTATAGCAGTATAGCAGCAACAGGAGCTATAGCAGTATAGCAGCAACAGGAGCTATAGCAGTATAGCACCAACAAAGGCTATTGCAGTATAGCACCAACAAAGGCTATTGCAGTATAGCACCAACAGGAGCTATAGCAGTATAGCACCAACAGGAGCTAAAAAGAAGTATAGCACCAACAGGAGCTATAGCAGTATAGCAGCAACAGGAGCTAAAAAAAGAAGTATAGCAGCAACAGGAGCTAAAAAGAAGTATAGCAGCAACAGGAGCTATAGCACTATAGCAGCAACAGGAGCTATAGCACTATAGCACCAACAGGAGCTTAAAAAGAAGTACAGCACCAACAGGAGAAAGAGAGCAGTGTAGCAGCAACAGGAGCTAAAAAAAGAAGTATAGTACCAACAGGAGCTATAGCAGTATAGCACCAACAGGAGCTATAGCACTATAGCACCAACAGGAGCTAAAAAGAAGTATAGCACCAACAGGAGAAAGAGAGCAGTATAGCAGCAGCCACAGCCACAGCACAGCATCAGCAGACGTAATTTATCATCGCGCAGCTGCAAGGAGCTGCATATACTGCGGCAGCAACTGGAGGCATACCCTTGCTGGCTTCAGCAGTTCCTTGATCCGTGAGGAAGGCTGGCGGCAATTCGAGAGCAACGAATCGCAGCAGCAGATCCAAACAGACCCTAAGGCAGCAATTAATCGCAGCAACAATTCACAGAATTTGAGGGCAGCGCCTTTGAGTCTGTCTTATGCGGCGGAGTCTGAAGCGGTTGGCATCAAGCAGTGCAACTGCGAATTTTCGTTGGAGGACAGGCTGCTCGCATTCTGATTTGCCGCTTAAAACTGAAAGAGAAATTTATCTATCTATACACATATGTATGAATCTGCGTCTGCAAATTTTGTAGAGGGAAAGAAAGAGAAAGAAAGAAAGAAAGAGAACGAGAGGCACAGAAAGAAAGAGGAAGAGAGACAGAGAAACAGACAGAGAGAGAAAAAGAGAGACAGAGAAAGAGAGAGAGAGAAACAGAGAAAGGCAGAGAGAGAGAGACAGAAAGAGACAGAGATATACATATAAATATAAAAGAAAGACTTTTGCCCGCAAACCTTTCTGCTTTTTCTTTTTTCCACGCCTCTTTTCGTGCTGCTGCCCCCGCATCGCACTTGCTGATGTGTGTAGGTGTCGAGGAGTTTTTGCTAGATGACACGTACAAGTGATCTGGCTGCGTGAAAATGGTGAGCGTTTGTAGCTTGGCGTTCAAGGCGATAACGCAGTAAGCTGCATCTCCAGCAACGCGAACAGAGAGCCGCGAAGGGACTAACTGCCCCGAATCTCGCCGGATGAATCCTGAGCTCAAGGCACCTCGAAAGCAACTTTTGAAGTCTCCACGATGCAGCAAGGAAGCGCGATCTCGCGAGGCAGCACTAGACAACGGACTCTCTCGTGCACTGCTGGTGCGGCTGCTGGAGAAAAACGAACCGAGAGGCAGCTCTCCTGGCTTGGGAAGCACGCCAGTGCGTTTGAACTGCAGCACTTGTCGCTCGATAGCCTCGATCAGATTCTCGTAGATCTGGAAATCGGCAGATCCAGACGCAGGCAGGCATGCATGCACAGAGGCAGGCGATGGCGGCAGCAGACAACAACAACACACGCACACAGCCTCCGTGGCAGCTGGAGACGGCTGCCTTCGTCGGCCCTCTTGAGCTTTCAAAACGCCGCAGCGCAAAGTGGGTGCGGAAGCTTGCAGTCAAGATTCTGCGGCAGAAGAACATGCCGACAAGCGTGTGCTCCTCCTAAAGACATACCGGAGGTAAAGTCTGCGTGAGCAGCTCGAGAGCCAGTCCTTGCGGCTCTCGAATGTGCTTTGAAATCTCGATTAAGGCTGCCAAGGATCGCACTGCGCATTCTTCGCATTCCCCGCGAATACTCCACATGCAGCCAGACCACAAGCGCTGCAGCAGCAGACGGCAAGCACGCGACATGCGGAGCGAGGGATGCCTCTACTGCTGCTGGTCAGAAGAGCCGCTCGAGATGCTCGCGGAGAAACGGCGCATTCGGGGAGGCTAGCCTGTCTGCAGCACCTACCGGCAAGAGTGTGGCGTGCTGGTCTAAGAGATGCTGCTGCTGCTGCGACGTCAGGACGGCAAGTTGCTGCTGCGACAAAACAAGAGGGGTGGCGGCAGGAACGGCTAGCAGCCTCAGCAGCAGGAGGAGCTGCTGACGCAAGGCATGTGGTTCTCCTTCTTGATTTCCAATGTTCACGTGGTGCAGCATCTGCAGAACGGGAGGCAGCAGGAGCGCCGCAGCTTCCGCTGCAGCAGCGGCTGCTGCCGTCCCTTCCGAGCCAAAGCTCCCTGCTGCTGCCTCGGCTGCTGCTGCTGAGGATGTTGCTGCTGCTGAGGAAGTTGCTGCTGCTGAGGATGTTGCTGCTGCTGAGGAAGTTGCTGCTGCTGCATTCGACGCCGTTATTTGCTGCAAGGCGGAGGCACAGCGCCGAGCAGCTGCAAGGCGTTCAGATGCCTCGTCAGGGGGAGCACCAGCACCGCTGGTGTTGCTGCCGCTGGGTTCGCTGATGAAGCGATCTGCATTCACAACAAAGTGATGCAAGGTTGCTGCTGCAGCTGGGAAGAGCTGGAAGAGTGGACTGAATGCGGGGGAAGCAGCAGAGCCAGGCGGAGGCGTCGATTGTGGCGTTTGCGCTGCAGCTGCTGCAGCCTCTGCTGCTGGAGGTTGCATTTCCCCTGCAGGATTCTCGGCGGAAGCTGCAGCTGGTATTTGGCCAGGGGGTGTTGCATGCTCTGATGATGGAGGCGCAGCAGCGTTTACCGCAGTCAGCGGCAGATGTTGTTGCTGATCGACATGCATCGTCGACACGCGTGGTACAGCAGGTGGTTGTCAGGAGGGCACACCCCCTGTGGCAGCCGCGCGATCCTTTGAGGCTGTGAGGAGGAGGCTGGCTCGCTGCGTTGCAGCACGCACTAGAATCGAATTTTCCGCGCATGCATGCCCGTGATTAGGGCATCCCTCAACACCGAGCAGCAGCCAGGCAGAGCGCTTGGACCGCCACGCCTACGCGCTGTCGGTACGAGGCGGGAGGGGGGGGGCGAAGCTGCTGCTAAGGCCACTGCTGTAGAATCTGTTGGGTTATTGGTGCTGCTAACAGAAATTTGGCGCTCAAAAGAGCTGCAATGCTTGCTGGGTGCCGGAGTCAGGCAGCAGCAGCGGCAGCACTAAAGGCTGCCACTGCTGCTGCTGCGCCGGTTGGTGTGCCTGGACAGAGACTGCAATTTCGAGTGGCGAATTCCAACGAGTAACAGCCTTTATTAACTCATAACAAAACGCAGGAGCTCGCGTTGGTATATGGCTGCATGCCCTTGATCGCAGCTGCCACTGCAGCAGCAGCTGCTGCTGCAGTTGCTGCTGCTGCGGTGGCTGCAGCCGCCGCCGCTGCCGCTGTCCAACGCAGCAGCAGCCACAGCAGCAGCAGCTGCTGCCGCAAAAAATGCGGCAATTCGCCCTTTTGTCTCGAGGAAAACATTATTTGTCTCGTGCTGTCTCAACAGCTTCTGCGTGTGCACCAAAAAGCAGCTCGCACTCCGGACCCTCCGCAGGAGCATCTGCAGCAGCAACAACTCAGCAGCGGCGGCAGGGGAGGCAGCAGTTATGCGACTGCGCTGCCGAGGCGGGGAGCACACACACTCTGTCTGCCTGACTTATTGGGCTCTTCTTTGAGAGGTATTGGTGGAAAGGACTGCTTGCTGTCCAATTTGTCATTGATTTCGTCGCCGCTGCTGCTGCAGCTGCCTTGAGATCGGCGCCGCTGCCGCTTTTAGGGCCGTAGTCGCACAGCAGCCGCAGGAGCAGCAGAAGCGGATTTGCGGCGCAGAGTACGCTCTGAGCAAGGCGTTTCAGAGGATGCTGCCGCTGCTGGCGGTGCTGCTGCTGCTCCTTGCTGCAGCAGCAGCTGCTGCGTGGACGCTGCTGCTGAGGCAGAGGTCACTAACTCATGTCTCCGCAAGGCACCAACAACCCGCGAAGCAACGCGAGCAGCGAGATGCACACGCTAAAAGGCAGGAAGAAGAGACACCAGAGCCTCAGGGATGCACTGCAGAAGGCCGTTGCACCAACACATCCCCGAGCAACTCCTGCGGAGGCAGCCTCTCAACGCGAGCGGCAGCAGCGGATAATAGCTGCTACCCCAGCAACCACGGCGAGACAGAGGTCTTACAGTCTGCGGCAGATCTGCTGCCTGCAGAAAGAGATTTCCTGAGGCAACACAGCGAGAAACGCAGCGGGGGGAGCTTGGGAGGTTCTCCTGCCGCTGCCGCGGCTGCTGCGGAACGCGCTGCAGCCACCAGAGACGCAGCTCTAGCGGCAATAAACACGGCTTTAGCCGCAACTGCATGTTCTCAAGACTCTCAGCCCCAAGCTGAAGCGCATGATTCGGGTGAAGACCAGCAGCAGCAACAGCAGCGGCAACGACAGCAGCCTGAGAAAGGTGGTGTCTTCGAGGCAGGAGGGGATATTGCAGCCGATCGTGCAGCAGCAGAGGGGAGTTGCCGCGTGGATGAGAGCCTTGCCGCGGCGATCGCAGCAGAAGCTGCAGCGACAGCAGCAACAGCCGAGGCGGCAGCAGCAACAGCCGAGGCAGCAGCAGCCACAGCTGAAACTGCAGCACAAGTTGCGGGAGTCGCTGAGGCTGCAGCAGCGGAGGCAGAAGCTATGGCCGTTAAGGCTGCAGCTGAAGCAGGAGTCTTCACTGCAACAAGACTTCCTCCCGCGCCGATTTCTGCTGACGTCGAAGCCAGCTGCGCAACAGCAGCAGCCGAAAGTGCCCACACCGTCGCTGCAGAGGCAGCAGCTGCTGCGCATGCTGCAGGCATGGCAGCTACAGCAGCGTCTATTGCTGCCAGTACGATAGCAAGTGCAGCTGCAGCAGCAGATGCAACTGCAGCAGCTGCTGCAGACGCAACTGCGGCAGCCGCAGTGGTTGCGGCTGCGCATGCAGCAGCCGATGCAACAAGTGCAGCAGAAGCTGCTGCAGTGCTTCCGACTGAACACGCTGCAGCACCAGAAGATGAGGAAACCTCTCTCAAGGCTGCTCACGGAGAGTGTGTAATGGACGCCTTGGAAGCTGCCGCAGCACAAGAAGGCGAAGCAGAGGCAGCAGCGGGAGAACAAAAAGAAGCGGCAACAGAGGTAGAAGGCGTAGAGCAGAGCTCGTCGGATCTGTTTGCTCAGGTTACTTCCATAGGCGAAGCTTACTGCGAAGAGGAAGAGCAAACAGCGGATGCACAACGCCATTCTGATGCCACGAACGGTTCATACAGCGCAGTGCCAGTCGAGTCGGAGGCGTCACTGCCAACAGCAGCAGGCGAAGCTGTTGCAGCGTCTGCCCCTGCAGAGGAGGAGACACCTCGCTTTGAAGAGCTGGAAGATGAGGAGTCTGCAGGTGACTCTCAGAGTATCTCGGAACTGAAAGAACGTGGCAACGAAGAGTTTCGCCGTGGCGCTGTGTCGGGAGCTCTACACTTTTATTCTGCCGCCATTAAGAAGCTTGAAGCAGAAGTCGAGGAGACAGAGACGAAGCTGGATGCGATTGAGATGCAGGCTGAGCAGCTGCAGCTGCAGCAGCAGGAGCAGGAAGGCTATCAGACAGAGCAGGGGTCGGCGACAGATCAGGAAGCAGAGGCGAGTGAGGCGAAGAAGGAAGGGGATGAAAGCGCAGCAGGAGAGGCAGCCAACCAGGAGCAGCAACAACAGCATGACGCAAGAGAGCATCCTGCTGCTCACCTCTTACCAGATGCCACATTAGCCAGATATCGGAAGCTCTTGCATTGCCTCCAGCAACTCGACGAGATGCATGCCGTCCTCAAGAGCAACAGGTTCGCTACACAGCACAGCGCATGCAGCTAGCCAAAAACTCCTTCACTGCCCTACCTAGGCGCTGCTTTTGCGCTGTCTGAGGTTCTGCGACCAGCATTGCTTCTGGGGGGATGGGGAGCGTGTTTCTTTCTGTTGCTGCTGTGATATGTGTGCGTTTCTTTCTGTTGCTGCTGTGATATGTGTGCGTTTCTTTCTGTTGCTGCTGTGATATGTGTGTGTTTTTTTCTGTTGCTGCTGTGATATGTGTGTGTTTTTTTCTGTTGCTGCTGTGATATGTGTGTGTTTCTTTCTGTTGCTGCTGTGGTATGTGTGTGTTTCTTTCTGTTGCTGCTGTGATATGTGTGTTTCCTTCTGTTGCTGCTGTGATATGTGTGTGCTTCTTTCTGTTGCTGCTGCCTCGCACAGAGCGCTCTGTCACTTGCACTATGGAGCTTTCGATGCAGCCGTGACGGATGGCTCGGACGCGATTCACGCCAACCCCAACTATGCCAAGGTGGGGAGACTTCTCTCGTGCATTGCTAGCCTCTGCCTTCTGCGTGTCTCTAGTTGCGTGTTGCGGCAAGGGAACCCGGCGGAGAGGTCTCTGCACACGCTGCATTCACGAGGGCATGGGTAGATGATACATCAGCATTCAGCAGCAAGGCGCGGAGTGACAGCGATGGAGGGCTGTTGTCAAGGCGCGGTTTGCGCTGCAGGCGTACTTGCGACGCTTCCGAGCATACGAAGGAAAGAAGAAGTGGCATGAGGCGCTCAGCGATCTGAACAAGGCCATCGAGTTAGACCCCAAACTCGCGTACGTTTTGCATTCTTCGGCTTCGTTTCACCAGAATTCGCGACTTTTCGGAGTTTGAGTGAGGGGATGGGGGCTGAGGAGGGCAGTCTGACTGTCCAGGGTCGGCGCGCGTGATTTTTCTGCGCTTTGACGGCGGATTTAGGGATGCTGGAGAGTGCATGCATGGCTTTGAGGGTTTGGCAATGTGTGTGTGGCTCAGGGAGGCGTACGGCAACGACTTGCGTCACGTGAAGCGGGAATCCGAGCTGTTGTTCGAGAAAGAGAAAGAAGAGATGCTGGGGAAGCTGAAAGACTTGGGTAATTTCGTGCTGGGTAAAGTGGGGCTTTCTCTCGATAACTTCAAGGTCGAGCAAAATCCCGAGACGGGAAGTTACAATATACAGTTCCAGCAAAATCCAAAGTAGTAATTTCGCGCGGCGAGAAAGGGCGCTGTAGATGGACGGCACATCTGGCATATGGCAAGCGTCTCATGGCGCAAATTAGCGAGCGTTCAAGCTTCGAACCTCCCTCAAAACACGCTTTCCATGAAATTTTAAGCGAGGCGCGTGTACAGGAGCCTCGGGCGGGCACGTTGGAGCAGAGCCAAGCGGCTTCTCACAACCGCAAAGCCTTGAATTTCAGGTGTACAGGCACCTTGCGAGGTGGCCACGATTCGCATGTAGGGGCGAAAGCGTCCATCCTGAACTCTGGTAGAGCAAGAGGCGTGCACATGTCCGCGCACAGTCGCGGGATAGCCAGTAAACGTCATGTTCAGCACCTCTGAATCGTGCATCACTCCTTGACAGCAATGCAGGGTGCTAGGGCTTCTGATCTTCTGGGAAGCCCTTCGCGGCTTGTGGCAGGCACCCTCGCGAAGCGCTTGAACATGCGCCTCTCTTGCAGGGCAGTGTTCGAAACAGTGACAGCTGTAGCAGCTGGCACTGTTTCGCTTGGGGCGAGGGTAGCAGCACGATAGCGTTGCATCGACAGCGGTCGCTGCCGATTTGTTCTCTTGCGCTGCGCCGCTGCACGTGACTCCCTAGGCTGGCAGCTGCATCGTTGCCGTTGTTCATTGGTGCGCTAGGCATTCAGAGACACCTAACAGTTGTGTAGAGCGTTTTGCAATTTTGGTAGCTAAAAGGCTTTTCCTGAGCCTTGTGGGAGTGTGTGAAGCGTAGCATCAGTTTAGGCTTTTAGAGGATGCTCCTCAGTGTATATACACTGGTAGCTAAAAGGCTTTTCCTGAGCCTTGTGGGAGTGTGTGAAGCGTAGCATCAGTTTAGGCTTTTAGAGGATGCTCCTCAGTGTATATACACTGAGTACTTCTGCAGCCCTGCTGACAGGCAGGCGTAACTAGAGGAGCTCCCACAAGAGAGTCGCGTGTCCATTGAGTTTGCTGCTGCTCTTTGCAGCAGCACTATATTTCTAAAGAATTTGGCTGTTGCAGAGCGTGGACGCCCAGCAACAGCAGGAGCACTAGCAGCAGCAGCAGCATAGGCAAGAGCCGTCGATCATCCTTATCAGCCTTGCACCTCTCCACGGCACTCTGCTCCGCAACTGCTGCGATGCAGTCCGTGAAACGGCAGCAGCAGCAGCAGCGTAGGAGGCGGCACGCTGATGCAGTGTGCACGAGTGCACTTTAGAGTAGGAGGCCGTTTGACGAAGGGGGGCACAAGTGTGCCGCTGTATCAATTATGAAGGTGGGAAGGGGGGGCCTGGCAGCGGGGGAGCAGCTCAGGCTGCCGATCGAGGCGCTGGTGCGAGCTTTACCGTCGACCTCTTTCGCGTCAGCTCTGCTTACGTGGCTGCTTGCACCAGCGGCTGCAGCAGCAAAAGCCTCACGCAGCTGCTCGTTACCTGTGACGCCCGTCAGGCAGAGGCAGCTCTGTAGCGCAGAGGAGGCGGCGAACGCGATGTCTGTCAGGAGCGAGTCTCCGACTACCAGCACGCGATTCAAGTCTTCGCCTTCTGTGCAGGAAAAACAGCAATGGAAAGCGATCCCAGACGAGCGGTCTCCTCGAGCGACACCCACGAGCCGCCTCGCCATGCGCACAGACGCTCTCCGTCGTCTCCTCGTGGATACAAATCGGCGGGCATGAAAACTAGCGAGACACATCCACGACGCTTCCTTCCCTTGCCCCCGTGGCTTCAAGAAACATGCGCTTAAAGCATCCTTACCTAGAGCCTCCAAGACAAGCTGCTGCATTTGCTCCGAAGGCTTGCCCATGAGGACTGGCTGCGCTCTGCAGGCCGCTGCAACTGCAGCCACCATCGTTCCTGCGCCTGCCCACTTCTGCAGCATCACAAAGCGCCACAAGAATGAAGACTTTGTCGCAGGAGCCTCCGGATCTCTGCCATCCAACGCACTTCCTGCTCACCCCCTCCCCTCAGCCAGCCTGAACCCTCGCTCGTCTGCGATTTTTTTACGTGCCAAGGCACGAAAAAGCGTCACTACACACGATACATCTCTGAGAGAGGCACCTGTTTGGTTGAAAAGTTGCCAAGAGGATCTATGTTGGTGCCAATGAACTGTGCGCCGCAGCTATTTATGTAGAGCTGCGCAGTTTGCAGCTTCTTGTAAGAAAAGCGGCGGTCAAGACCAACCACGACAAAATCCACGTCGGGCTGTACGGACACCTCTGGGTCGTTCCCAAAGTCGATTTCTTCGTACACTTCTGAGCAGCCACATCGATTTCGCGAATAAAAGAGGCCGCATTTCACACAGAGGGAGCACGCAACGGAACGCATGCATGCTGTTCCCAACCCTCCTGTATCTCGCAAGCAACCACGCGGCAAGGCGGCTCGAATTGGGAAGCTGTCTCCTTCCTCTCCGGGTGCCGTGTGTCTACCTTCTTGGCCTCCAAAGGCATCGATGCCGTTACTGCGCAGCTCTTCAAGGAGGCCTTCTTCGCCAACAACGTAGACGCGAGAGCTCTTGTTGGACTGGTGCATGGCTTTCTTTTGCTGTTTGCGTATGTACTTGGCCGTAGAGTAGCTCGTACATAGAACCTGCGACACACACGCACACACACACGCATTTACAGGAGCTCTGGAGACACGGGAAACCATGGGCAGCTTGGAAAGCTCCAAAGCCACCTTGCGAAGAGAGGAGAGCATCTGGGGAGCTCAGCGAGAAAGCGGAAACGTCGAAGGGAATGTCAAGGATTTAGGGAGAAGCGATCCTTGACCTGCTGCTCTGTGCAAGGGACGCCCAGCGTCTGGAGCTTCGCAACAAAGCCTTTGCGGCTCAAAGTGCTGTTGTTTGTCAGGTAGTAGACGCTTTTGTGTTGCTTGTTGCCTGTTGGAGGTGTGCTCGCAGTGCTGCTGGCTGCAGGGGTAGTGAGAGTGCCGCTCATGGGGGTAGGGGTGGAGGGAGTGGTGGAGGCACTCTCCTCGTTCGCCCTCTGGCGAGGCGTTCGCTGCAGCTGCTGCAGCATCGCCTTGATGCCTGGCAGCAGTTTGTTCCCGTGCCAAAGAACCCCGTCGCAGTCGAAGACGAAGACATCGAATCGCTCCAGCAACGCCGCTGCTGCAATCCTTTGCTGGCAGAGCTCATTTGCCACTGCTTCTCCGGCTGACGAAGACGCAGAGGCTGCTGCAGAGGCCGCTGCAGAGGCTGCTGCTACTGCTTCTCCGGGTGTATGGACAACAAGAGACACAGCAGCAGGAGGGGGGGGGCCCGTCATCTTTCTGCCTGCTGTCGACGGCACCTGCCTTACGGCAAGCCACGGAGGACTCTTCAAAGGGAGGGAAAATTATTTGAAAGGGCGATACGTGAAGAAAATGCAGCAAGGAATGCGGAAACTCTCCCCCGCTGCACGTGAGCCGCAAAAATCGCCCCCTTGCCGAAGAGCTGCGCGGTAGAAACCTCGACAGCAAAGCGCCCTAACACTCCAGTCTTTGCCACTCCCCTCCCCCGCCTCCTTCACCTTTTCTAAATTCGAAAATCAGCGCTAATTAACGGCTAGAAGCGCTCGGTGAGTAGCTGCTGCTGGCAAGGCTTGAACCAGCGCTTTCGAAGCTGGATAGAACCCTGGTATTGAGGGAAGCACCTGTACACCTCCTGTTCCTTGAGGAGGCTCAATTCCCCTCTCGGTTCGTCTTCCATAAAGATTGCCTTCTTCATTTACGGTGAAAACGCGATGCACTTCACGAGGCATGTGCCGCCGAAGAGACTCGCAGCCTCCCAATCCGAAGGGGGGGCCCCCCCGTCCCCATATGGCGAAGGGAGACTCGCCGCGAGGGGGCCCCCCCCTCCCCCCCTATTCCCCTACTCCCCTCGCTTTCTACACAAAAGCGTCTAGCCGCTGTCGGCGTTGCTCATTCCCTCTTGAAGCTACTGCCTTTTCTGGCGAGTCTATTCAGCGATCAAACGCGTGGCTTTCTCCCCAAGCCGCCCCCTCGCCTCGCAGACAAGGCAGTAGCAACGACCAGCAGCAGCAACAGCAAATCGACGGCAGCTACAGGAAAGGGCGAAGGAGCCGCTGCCGCGACATCGGCAGCGGCTGGAGAAGAAGAGGAGACATCTGCTCGACTGCAAGGCTTTTTTCAAGCGGCTCGCGATGCTCCTCCCCCCGCTCTAGAGCTTTCTCTACTGCTGCTGCACGGGCTCCCGTGCAGCAGCAGATGCCGCAGATGCCTCTGCGACTTTTGCTGCTGCACTCCCTCTGCGCCAGAAGCCGACTGGGGAGAGTCTGCGCATTAGCCTGCCTGAGCTGCTTGTGCTGCCTGCATGCGACAGCAGCAGCTTCAGCGGGGGTGAACTCGTTCGGCGTCGGCGGCGATTGCCGTCCTGCCACTGCTGCTACTCTTACTGCCGCTACTCTTACTGCTGTTGCTCAGACACTTGGCGCGAACGGAGGCGGCACCTTGCGGCAGCTGCAACGCGTCGCCTTCTGCACAAGTGTACGTACAGCGCCTGCGTCAGCAGGACCTACCTCAGGTAATGGTGCAGCTGTGTCTCTTCATTCTCTGAGCGCCTCGACACCACAGCAGCCGCAGCAGCAGCAGACATCGCGTCTCTTCGCTCATCACCCCCAAAAGAAAGGGGCGAAGCACTGGAATCGCACAAGACCTAAGAAAGTAAGGAGGCAAGGCTTTCCTTCCGGGGGGGGGGGTGTCGAACGTGCGTGTGTCGGAAATCGCGTCTGCTGCAGCCAGCTGCGCATGGCTCCAAGGAGGCTTCTTAAGCGAAGATTTACAGGGGACCAGACGGACGGAAAGCCAGCGCTGCGGTGCTCTGTCACGTCTTTTTTTGCTGCAGACACGGCCCTCTGCAATCAACAGCAAGCCAACGCCGCACCAGAAGAATCCCACCGAATACGCGAACGCTCCGCCGGAGTACCTCTCCGTGCCGGTAAGAGTCTGGGGTGGCAGCAAGCGCTGAATTTTTTTGTGTGACCAAAGGGGTCTCACAAGCTGCATTCCGCGCGGCGATGAAAAGCACGCGTTGGAGCGCCTTTTGAGCGTGCTGAGTGGCTGAGTGCCTTTTTCCCCTTGAGTGTAGGACGCCGAAGGCTTGGCAGCCTTGCAAGCGGCGCCATTGCAACAGTTGATGCTCCTCTTGCAGCAACTGCCCCTGCAGTATCGGCGAGGTAGCGGCACTTTGCTCAAAACACCTGTACCTTGTGACATCCGCATGCCGCGCATAGCGAGAGCCGCTGCCGCAGCTATTGCCGCCGCAGCAGAGGCCTCTAACGCAGAAGAAGCAGCCGCAGCAGCAGCTGCGGCTGCACCAGCGTTCCCCGAAGAAGCTGCGCAGTATGCGAAAACACTGCGCGTTGCTGCAGAGGCAGCAGCTGCGCGAGCAGCTGCTGCCTCTGCCAGGATCGTTGGCGCGGAGGGGGTGCCTGTCGTGGCAGCTGCGGCTGCTGCACCTGACACCCCCGCTGCCAAGCTGCTGCAACGGCATGCCCAACAAGCAGAACTGCACCAGCTGCTGCAGCAGCTCCAGCAGCTGGCGCTGGCGAAGGTAGGACTGTGCTGCTGCTGCTGCTCTCTACAGGGGCGAACAAACTCCTGTAAAGCGGCTGTCCACCTCTTCGCTCTCTTCACACCCTCAATAGCTCCCGCAAAGGCCGTCTGCCAACCCCCTGCCTTTCGCTAGAGGCTCCGCTCTTTCCTAACGCCGCCTTCGCAACGCGATTCTCTAACGCTGCCTGCAGCTTTTCTGGATGCGTATCTATCTATGTATTATATGTTTATATATATGTTGATGTGTATATGCTTTCATATATGTATATGTGTGTATGTTTTCTTTTATGCATATGTGTACATGTTTTCATATATGTACATGTATGCATGCTTTTTATGTATATGTATGTATGTGTATATGTTTTCATATATGTATATGTGTGCATGCTTTTTATGTATATGTATGTATGTTTTTGTTTGGATGTATACATGTTTGTATATATGTATGTATATGTATGCATATATGTATATATGTATATACATATATATATGTGTACAAATATGCATGTATGTATATACGTATACATGTATGCATATATGTATACATGTATGCATATATATGTGTATGTATATATGTATGCATATATATATATATATAGATTGATGTGTCTGTGTGTGAATTCGCTAGGAGGATGCGGTGCTGGCCAAATTGACACGTCACCTGCAAGTTGCTGTTACGCCTGTAGAAGCCCCCCGAGCCGCCGAGCTCATTGTTGGTCCCTGTACGTTTGCAATGAAGAAGAGCATTAAAAAATTAGATTTAAGTTTCTTCGCAGCGGCTTCAATCCTGGGCAAGATGACGCCCTTCCTGCAAAAGCTACAAGCACGCCTTGTGCCACCGCAGTGGCTGCTGCAATGCCTCTTTTCTTGTTGCCTTCAAGATTGCATCTGCTGTGCTGCCTACACAAAGTGTGTTTGTATGTACTTCAGCTTACGATGCACCCGCCGCAGGCGCAGTGGCGTCTCTCCAGGATATCGGACGGCCTGCATCCGTCTCATTCCTGTCTGATGCTGCAGCTACTTCAGCTGGTGCTGCTGCTACTTCAGCTGGTGCTGCTGCAGCTACTTCAGCTGATGCTGCAGCTACTTCAGCTGGTGCTGCTGCAGCTACTTCAGCTGGTGCTGCAGCTACTTCAGCTGATGCTGCTGCTACTTCAGCTAATGCTGCTGCAGCTACTCCAGCTGATGCTGCTGCTACTCCAGCTGATGCTGCTGCTACTTCAGCTGCTGCTGCTGCTACTTCAGCTGCTGCTGCTGCTGCTGCAGACGGGGCAACAGCGCGTGCCCTTGTCGCCAGACGACGTGGGGTAGTGCCTTCTCTAAAGGCCTTAAAGGTCTCTCCCTTGACGCGTTTTAACCCTCTTCTGCCGCTAGAGACGCTAGACGGATTGTGGAAGGCTCTTCAGAAGCGTCGGTATACCGGTATACTCAAGCGGAAGTTAGGGCACGCGCAGGCGCTTGCCCGTAGGCTGGAGGTGAGGAGGTTTGGGCTGCTATTTTTGCTGCTGCTACTACTACTCTTATTGCTGTTGCTACTACTACTATTACTCCTGCTGCTACTACTATTATTATTGTTGCTACTACTACTCTTATTGCTGTTGCTACTACTACTATTATTACTGCTGTTACTACTACTATTATTATTGTTGCTACTACTACTCTTATTGCTGTTGCTACAGCTACTATTACTGCTGCTACTACTACTATTACTGCTATTGCTACTACTACTATTACTGCTGTTGCTACTAGTACCATTACTGCTGCTACTACTGCTATTTCTGCTGCTACTACTACTATTACTGCTGCTACTCGTACTATTACTGCTGCTACTACTACTATTTCCGCTGCTACTACTACTATTACTGCTGCTACTACTGCTACTATTACTGCTACTACTCGTACTATTACTGCTGCTACTACTACTATTTTTATTGTTGCTACTACTGCTACTATTGCTGTTGCTACTACTACTATTACTGCTGCTACTACTACTATTACTGCTGCTGCTACTACTATTACTGCTGCTACTACTACTATTACTACTACTAGTACTGCCGCTGCTACTACTACCAATACTGCTGCTGCACTGTTCCTGTGGTAGCGCTTGATGGGGATTCGTCTGAGAGACGCACTCTCTCAGCGGGTTGTGTGCTGCTGGCCTTTTGCCCCTCACCTCTCCAAGACTTATCTGTGGCAATCACTGTTGCAGGCTGACGGCGTTGGTGCCAGTGCAATACTAGAAGATGGAGCTCTCGAGCACTACGGCGTGTTGCGAGACCTCCCCAACACCAACTACGTTCCCCTTTATCTGCACAGACACTCCAGGCCCTGGGAACCCCCCGAAGCCGCAGCTGTGGCTGCTGCTGCTGCTGCTGTGGCTGTTGCTGCAGAAACGGGGGATGCGAGGCAGCAAGCGGAGGCGGCTAGAGCCTCCGCGCGCGCAAGGGCAGCCCTTCGGAACGCTGCAATGCAGAGGCTGCAGGTATTCTGCGACTTCCTGAGAAGATATACAGCTGTCTGTCTGTGGAGGGTTATTCGTGGCATCAAGCTGCAAGCTCCCCGCGTATTTAAACTGCACCAGGGCATGCAGCAACAGCTCAACAGAAGACGCAGTGTGCTTTTGCGACGCAGGATCTCGGCTTCGTGACTTCTGACGGCGTCCTCGACCTGCTCAAGATACGCTCGCTGCAGGCTGCGCTGCAGCAGCAGCCTGCGCTTCCACGTCAGCTCTCCGTAGCAGAGCAACAACAACTGCTGCTGCAGCGGCGGCTTCAGCCTAAGTACCGCTTCACACGCATCGTTCAGCGAGTCACGACACACGCGCGAGCAGCAGCAGCCAACATGAATTTCCCCATTTTAGGGACAAAGAAACGCCGCAAGGCAGAAGCCGCAGCACTTACTGCAGCAGCAGCTGCCGCAAGCACTCCTGAGGAAGGCGGTGTCTTCACGATGCCTTCGCAAGTTTCCCTTGGGGGTCGCAGCTGGAAGGGTGCCTCGCAAGAGCAACAGGAGGTGACGCCAACGCAACCCCCAGAGCAACAGCAACAGCAGCAACAGCAGCAGCAGCAGCAACAGCAACAGCAACAGCAACAGCAACAGCAACAGCAGCAACAGCAGCAAGAAGATCCCTCAGAGCAAGAGCAGCAACCGCAGCAAAAGCAGCCCCTTCATGACGGGGGGATACCTGCTGTGACAAAGAGACTGGGAAGCGCACTGAGGCGCATGCAGAAAAAGCAGCTCCTGCAGCAGCAGTTGCGGCTCAAGCAGCATCAGGATCAGCAGGAGAGGGTTCGGCTGCTGCAGCTAGCAGCAGAGGTGACAGGGGTGTTTGACGCTTTGGCGAAGGCCGATTACCCCGAGTATGCGCCTATTAGGGATGTTGCGGAACTGGGTAAGCTGTAACAGTTGCTGCTGCGATTTCTCTTGATGCTCTTCTTCGTCCCTTGTGCGTGGTGGTTTCAAGCGTTTTTGGTGATGCCCCCTAGCAGCGCGACTGGCCTCTGCTGGGAGCTGCTGATCATAAGCCTGACGTCGCTGCCGCTGCTGCTGCTGCCTTATCGCAGAGTCCTATGTGGAAGCCGAGTACAGGAGAAACTCTCTGATGGCAGACTTGCGACGCTCCTTGGAAGCTTCTCTGCAGTCGGGGGAGGCGCTGCAGCCTCTGCAGCAGCTGCAGCCAGGTAGACACCACCTCACTCGCGTCGAGGACGTGCACTGACTCTTCCCAGCGGCCTGTTCGCAAAAGCCCGACTTTCTGCCGCAAGCCTTAAAAAGCACCTTTTCTCACTGCGCAACAGGCTGTGAAAAAAAATTGGAGTTGGTCTGGGATTCTTCCTGCTTGCGTTTGTGCCCCTATCTTTTTTCTCAGAAAGCAACCTGGCGTTTTTGCAAGTGTGGCTGCGTCTGTCGAAGCGTCAGAGAAGGCGGCTTCTGATGGACGAGCTGCGAGAGCAGCAGCTGCAGCAGCCGCCTGTGCCCCTCAGGAAGCGGCGCTCGCGGCGAAGGCATGTCCAGCGCAATGAGCCAGATCCACGCCTGCTCCTACGGAGTCTACGCCACAAGTTCGCACTCGGCTTGCTGCCGCTGCCTTCGAAGGCAGCAGCGCGCCAGCCGTCGTCTTCCTGCTTTCCAGCGCGCGATTCGGCCTCGCCAGCAGCTAGCCAACTCCCCACCGAGATCGCTGATGACGCCACAAGGGCTCTCAGCTCGAGCGCTTTGCGTGCTGAGACTTCTTGCCAATCTGCCCGTCTCATGCGGCTGCCGCTACAGCGTCCCCTCGCAAGCTGCAGGAGCAGCAGCCCTTTCAGCGGTACACGGCACTTCGCAACTCCTGCAAACCTGCGAGCGACCCCTTCTGTCCACAAGCTACCCAGCAAGCGCCTCCTGCAGCTGCTGCCCGCCGAGGTGCACCGGCAACAGCAGCAGCCGCATGCAAAGAGGGTACAACAGAAGACGGGAGCCGATTTAGAGGTGGGATCTTTTGCGGCTGCATCTCGCATTGAGTTCACCGAGGCTACGGCGTGCCATGTCTCACGACGGCCTCCTGCTGCTGCAGCGATTGCACTCGTCTCCCAATCGCGTCGCAGGTGGTAGCATGCGAAGGGCTGTGGCTGTCGTTCATACACCTGCAGGCTCCTGAAGCGGAACCCGAACCATCGGATGGCTACAGGCCCCCCGTTCCTGCGTGGAGCTTGCGGATATTCTACGATCTCGAATATTCTCAAGAAGCAGTTGTAGAGGCACTCACCAAGTATGTAGGCCGCTCAGGAAAATGGGATATGTATATATATATGTCTACATATGTATATCTATACATATCTGTAAATTCGGTCATGAGTGTTACAAGGAGGGCTTAGGAGTTCCCCACTCCCGAAAGCAGAAGCGCGGTGGCAACAGGGTTACTTGGTCGAGTGAGGGGTTGCAAAAAGGCATCGCGACGTTGGATGGCTGGACTGTGTGTCGTGTGTTGGTGCAGGCACATTGAAGGGCTCACAAGAGAAGGCGCAGAGTCAGCATGGCACTGCATGCATCTCCGCGGTAGAGTGGACGTGGGCGCCTTTGTGGACCCTGTACGTTCTTGTCACTACTGACGCTGACGTTGTTTGCTGGTTTGAAGGGGTGGTGCCGCCTTCGTGCTGTTGCTACCTTAGACATCCCACGAGAGGTTCCTGTTGCACTTGCACTTCGAGGGAACTCGCTCCACTTCCAGATGCTGCGGTGTGGTTGCCGTTTCTGGGGCCCTTGAATGGCTGGCTGTATCAACGACCTTCTTGAGCCTCTCGGCTTGCTGGTGCTGCTGCAGGTGGCAGCAGCTGTTGCAGCAGGTCATGTGCAGGCGGAAGCCGGGGTGTACAGCCAAGTGATTGCCTTCGACAAGAAAAACACAGTGGAAGAGGGGGAGTCCCCGTTTTCTGCAGTGCCTAGTGGTGGCGTCTAAAGAAAGGTTCGCCATACCAGTAGGCGCAAAAGGGGGGCTGCTGGCGTGTGCTGCGCAAAGGTTCTGGAGAGAAACTGTTCGGGGGTATTGTCTTTGCTGGTACTCATGAGCGAGCTCTAAGTAGGCCTTGGGGTGCACTGGGATTTCGGTTCAGAGGCGGGTGGGTTTGGCCTTACGTCTGAGGCTTCTGGAAGCGTGCTGCAGACTTTTCTAGAGGTCTCAGCCTACCCTTTGGGGGCAGCGCAGAGCTTAGTGTTAGGATACAATGTGCTACAGTACTTTACTGGCACGGGTAGCGAGCCAGCTGCCACACCAGCGCTAGCAGCAGTTCTGCAGACAGACACCCTCCTACAGCTTGCATTTCGGCGTGTAGGGCTGGCAGAGGCTCTGTGTCTAACGCTGTGTTGCGTTTCAAAGCACTTATGATGCTGCATCGGGAGAGAAGAGACTGCTTTCGGCTGCTGCACTAACTGAGCTTCGCGAGCCTTCCAGGAGTGCCCCTGGTGTGGGGAGAATAACCCATAATTGTGCGTGGCGCTGTGATAAAGAGGAAGCAAACTCTGCATGCAGCCAGCTTCCTTATTTTGTCCTAGGGTAAAATTTGTGAGCCATGGAATGTAAAAGGTAGGGACTGTGCACCCCTTTGGTCCCAATGTATGAAATTCTGCAAGACTGGACAGTCTTAGTATGAGGTAATCCTCTACCAGCGGTTATTCACAGCACCTTCGTCGCAGAGCACCTTAACCCCTGCAACTAACAAGCAGCCCACGTTGAAATGAGACGAACTGCAGAGCACCTGTACAGGTTGCAAATAATACAGGCCCAACCAACGGTCACCTCGCTTCCGGAATTTCTGTTGATTGCCTGTGGCCGCTCTCAAAACGTAGAGCATGCAAGTGGAGACAATGCAGTGCAAAAGCCTCTTAACTGAGGCACCTTTAATGTCCCTCTCACGCCAAGTTAACTCAAATCAGGTCCCTCGCTTTAGCCATTGCAACGCTCCGTCTAGGGTCTCCGTGGGCTTAATAATTTGACTTTAAATTTAACACACACTTCATAGAGTTGTCAACTATCCCTAAAACGCGTCCTCTTTCCCCTGCCATCAACCCTCACAGCTCCGGCATGAGGGGAGGGGGGGAGGGCGAGCGTTCGCGTAGATGCACCGCCTAAGCGCACTCCGAGAATTCATAGCACGTTGTACACTGCATCTAGCGCACACGCACACAAATTGATTACCTCTTGCTGTATTGAGCTGCCCTTGCTTTTCAATTAACAAGGCATATAAAGAGACAGTCACTCATTGAATTCTTCGATAATCCTACGCTACTGAATATTAACTGATGTATTGCAAAGTGATATAGTCTAGCTTCTCCCGCTATATTCTATGAGTTGGTCAGCAGGTTTGGCTCCAAGTACAAGGACTGATTTCCCGTGCATTTTATTTGCGTGAAACTGTGGAAGACTGGTGGACGATGCATGGAGCGCTCAGAGGGGGCAACAACGCTCACAGTGGCTAGTTTTCCTTGTTCTCACACACCGGAACTGTGCTTTGTAAGGGTGAGGAATGCACGTTTGTCTAAAAGACTGAATATTTTTATTGCATGCTCTGATAGAGTTCTGTGGCTGAGGCATTTTTATGATGGAGACCCTAGGAGGAACGGTAGAGCTGCCATAAATCGGGAGGAACACTGCATTGTGGAGTGTGTGTGGCTTGTTTCTTGAAACATTGTGGCCTGCAGGAGACGTTCGAATATCTCCAAAATGTCGATCAATGACGTGTACCTGCTTTAGTAGCAAATTTTGGGGGCTGCAGAGCCGCACGGTGTTTGTGAGCACAAGGTCTGTGGCGTCGACGTAAGACGTTTAAAGGAGCAGCACCTCTATGAACCAGAGGAAAAACGTCGTTATTCTAAGTTTTACACCTGAGTCGGGAAGGGACGTAGCGCCTCATAGAGATCGACAATATTCAATACCCTCCATGACGTAGGCATGGTCACACTACATAGGCGCCCGTGCAGGGAATGCATCGAATTTTCGCTTACTAGGCAGCGCATCCGTGCTCGGTGCATTTTCTTGGTAAAAGCAAGCCTAAATTAGAGCCAGGAAGTAATGTGTAGACTCAAAGAAATGAAACCGTTGAGGACATGTCTTACCATGCACGGTGATCTCCTGCTGTTGAGATCCCCACAAAGGAGGGGCACAGGTAATGATGGCTAGCAGAAAAGCCGTGAACGCATTCTTGAAACACTAGAAAAGATTAATCGGGAGGCAACAATGCTGTCTTTAAAACTCGATCACCTCACATTTCTCTTCAACTTTGCAAGACTCCGTAGCCTTTCTGACTCGGTGTGCGGACACCTGGGCTGGTCCTTTAGCTACACTGCCCCTGCGTACAGGCAGCTCTACTCCCAAGTCTACGCCTCTTTCTACCCTGAGCTTCCGCTCTAAGCAAACTTATTGGACTGTTTTATGGTTTAGCTTGGTAATGGGAATTATATCGCTCGTGAACTGCGTGTGCCGTGGGGATGCGTACTCAGTGCTCTAGTGTTTGTGAATTTGCCACAAATTGCGCACGCAGGTTGCACGACACCGCGATACTCCCCGTTTTTGCATTCCATAGCGTAGTTTAAGACCCTCTAAATTGTAAAAGGTGTTGCACCCTGGCAGCTCCCCTCCTTGGACACCGCGTACAGTAGGCGGCCGCTTCGCTTCCCCGCGTGCTCCTTGGGTGTGCACGGCAAGGGATCTTCTGTGTTTATTCATTTTCTGAGTGGAGTTCTCTGTATGGCCCTTAAAAGTCGCAATAATTAACCTCCTCTCAGAGGTTTCCCTAGACGGTTCTGCGACACCTCCCTCTGTCCGTCTGTTGAAGCTGGTCACCTTGAGTGGTCAATCCCACCTTGGCGAAATCAAGCCTTCACCACAAGCACGACTCGAGCCCCCCTCTTTGTCATCTTCCACAGCGATTTGGCTGTGGCCACGACGCCTGTCGCTTGTTGGGTAGCGCGTAGCTTCTCGAAAATGGTGGTTCCCTGGAAGCACGGCACAAGGCGAATAACAGGGCACCCTCTCAAGAAAATTGCTCGAGCAGTCAGCCTAGTCCTTCTGACGGTGTGGAGCTGTACGGCGGAGGCTGCAGGGACGCCCTCCTCACCAAAGCAAGTGAGCGCGCTCGTCGTGCGATGGCCAGAAGCCTCTACCATGTAAGCGCGGAAGATGCCTGCTGCCTCCAGAGCATGCAGGTTTGCGTGGCACGTGCATACGCCAGCTGAATCGCTACTCTGGCTGCTGTGCATTCGCTTTGTGCTATTCAATTCTGTTCACGCAGAGTGGAGGCAGCAGGAAATGGGGGCAACTCAGGGTCAGACACGGCGGCCTCCAATTCGGTATGAGCAAAACAAGCTCTTTGCCCCACACACATGCGATGAGACTCCAGATACAGACTTCGCTTGCTGTTTGGCGACTCGGGCTTACTCGGTGTGCGCTGCCGATGAATATTTGTGCAGGATGCGGAAAAACCTGGCGCGTCGGCTGCGTTTGAAGCGGGTGTGGATCAGCGCTCCTTCTGACCCGCTTCATTATATCCAGCCTCAACGAGCCTCATTTTGAGGCTTTTGGTGTGATCTGTGGGGCTGAGGCCAATCGCGTTTCAGCGAAAGAAACACGCTTGCAATACAGTCCCCTTGTACTTCTCCCTGTGTGCCGCCCTCCTGCAGTGGAAGCTTTCGTTGCGAGGCAGCCTACGAGGAGTCAGCTTCTCAAAGCCCTCAAGCATCCCCAAAGCCACGGACTGGAGAGCTTGGCGGTTCCGCCGGTGTTGCAATGCGAGTCGTACCCTTCCATCCGCCTTTACGACGAGTACGATGCTCGAAAAGCCTCTGGTAAAGAGGGTCTTGTGGATCTAGGCAACTTGCACGACGTTGCCGCGGAGTTTGGGCTTTTTGTTTCGAAGCATCGAGTGCAACAAGAGCTGAGACACAAGAAAATGCTGCAACTCAAGTCTCACAGGCGGCTAGGCGTTGGCGTCGTCCAGTGGTGGGTATCGTGAATTAGCCTCTCCCTTGATTTCTGCGTGCCTCCTGTTTCCTGCATTCAAAGGATTGGAGGTGTACAGACACTAGGCTAGGCGCGCACCTGGCACTTGGCTTCAATCCGCGGCTAGACACATATATATATATATGTACATATACATATATATACAAACAAACAAACAAACAAACAAACACACAAACAAACAAACACACAAACAAACAAACAAACAAACACACAAACACACAAACAAACAAACACACAAACAAACAAACAAACAAACACACAAACAAACAAACCAACAAACAAACACACACACACACACACACACAGCCTGACCTGTGCAATCCCGCTCCACTCCCCAGTCCCCCCTGCCCCCCTCCTCCCCCGCCTGCTGCTGCACATGTCTGTTTTGAACCGGAGTTGTTTTGTCTAAAGAAAAAGGGTTTTAAACCCTCCTTTTTCGGGGCCTCGCAAGAGGGCAGCTGCTACCTGCGGCGTCGATGTGGCATGCATGCCGCGTTTTGTGGTCCTTGCATTGCAGCATGCGCTGCTTCTGATGTTTCTTCTGAGACTTCTTCTGCGTGTCTTGTGCGCGTGCTTCCCCAGGAACACCTTCATGATGCGGCCTTCAGCCGTCGACTTGCTGTGGGCTTTGATGGATGGCGTCGCAGAGCACAAGGCGACCCCTGTTGACCGCTTGGATGTGTTGGTATTCCTCCTGCATGAAACTCCGCACTTCAAGACCAAAACCGATAAGCGGCGCATGCTAAAGAATGTGCAGCACGTGGTCAACGTGCTGAGCACCGAACACAGCTGGGGCGCTGCCCATATGAAGAGCCTCAAGAATACTGGGGGAACAGGTTTGCGTTTTGGGAGACTAAACACGCAATCCATCATATGGATTTCGCGCTTTCGTCAGGGGGACCTTTCTTCTCCCCACGTTAATTACGTTTGTCTTGCCCAGCATG